GACCTCCTGTGAGCTGTGGAGAGTGGAGCCATTGGGCTCCCGTGTGATGCAGGAGCAGCCCAGGCACCACTGTGTCCCCCCTTCCAAGGCCAAGGGGCTCACCTTATCCAGGATGTACTTGTTCAGGTATGGCATGTAGCCCTGGCTGGACACTGGCCCATCATCGTCATCACGGAAATGCTCTTCCAGTGCCACGGGATCGTGGGGGATGCGCAGCACCGTGTACAGGTTGTGAGACAGCACCTGGCCAAGCACAAGGGGTGGTGAGAAGGTGAACAACCTCCAGCCCTGCCCCAGCACACCTCTGTGGTGCCATCCCCACACCCACTATGCCCTGTGACCTCCCTGCAGCCACAGCACTGAGGCAGAGTTTGGGTTTGGCAGAGAACGGGGCATCATTCCCAAATTGAAACCTTACAGAATCATTTAGAAACAGGCAAAAATTAAGCATTTTTTCACATTAGTTACTTTTCTTCGCACATCAGGAACTTTTTTTTTAAAAGAGCTGTTTCAAACCTCTCAGAGAAAACAGGACTTGCTCTGATCTAGAAAAGCTGATAAGCCACCCCGAGCCACGTGTTTGGTACAACCATGGCCCAGCCTGGCAGCAGCGGCTGTCTGCCAGGGGGCACAGAAAGATGGAAACATGAAAATAGAAACTAAGAAAAAGTTTTGTCTGGAATGGGAGCAGACAATGGAGATCTGAAGATGCACCATCTGCAGAAACACTCCACGAGTCTCACCAACAGCCCGTTTTTGTTCAAATTCCACAAAACAAAGGGTGTTTGGAAGCTCCCAAATTTCCCATGTGCTGGAAAGCTCAAAGCAAGGCTGTCCACGAGCATCACCAGCATCTCCAGCTTGTGATGCCAGACAGGCAGTGCTCTCCTTGCCTCTACCTCCCAGAAGTAGGAGATGACTAAATGAGCATCCCAGACTGACCCTGCCCCATTGCACCAGGATCTGCGGATGCAGCTGGCCAAGGGTTGAAGAGAAGGCCTGGAGGAGAGGGCACAGCATCCCTACTCCTCTGTGCAGGGCTGGAAATTTCCTCCCAGCAGGAGAGGAGCCGGAGGCCACGCTGGGCTGCTGCAGCTGGAGATGGTTCTTGCTCAACCAGATTTTCTTTCTCTTTTCCACCCTCCAGACTGATGGGATCAGCAGGACTCCGCCCTGTGCTCACACACCAGGGCTGCAGCCCTGAGCACTGTTGCTACAGCTGCACCTTTTGGGGTTGGTGCAGCCCTGGGGTCTGCACAGGACTGGAAAGGGTTGGGAACACCCTGGACATCCTTTGAGATGTCCTGAAGGCTAACAAATCCATCAGGATGGACTGAAACTTCGGGAATCGCATCCTGTTCCCTGTTTCCAATGTGGGCCCTCGTCCCCATCCCTCACACCTCTCACAGCATCCCTAAAAAGCCCTGGGAGGTTTCACATGTGCCCCCGTCCATGATGAGAACCCCAAGCCCCTCTGTCCACCTTGGCACACCGTGACCCACAGCTCCTCCGCTCGCAGAGCTGTCACTGGACAAACTGGGAGGAAAGCCCCAGCCTGGCCGACGGTGGGGTGACTGGACAGAGCAGAGGTGGGAAACACTCCCAGGCTCTGAAACAGAGACTGGAGGGGAAAAACATGACAGTAGGGAGCCACTGTCACGATCCCCATCACCTGTGAACAGAGGTGCTGAAAAGCACCAGGACAGTGCTCGGTGGCTCCCGCCTCCTGCTCCAGCCACGCACAGCCACACTGAAGGCACACACCCCACATCCCAGCCCGCATCCGCAGAGACGGGGAGCAGCTCCCTCTGCTCAGCCAGGGAGGATGCAATGGCACCGAGAGGATAAATCCTTTTCCAGGAGCAGGGCTGGCGTGTGCCTGCACTGGGAACAAAACTACCCGACCTCGCTCGGCGCGCAGCACTCCACCGCAAGCTGCCCTTCCTTCCTGTGCACACACACACCCACACTCACAGTGTCTGCACACACTCGCCTGCGGAGAAGTGCCCCTGCAAGGAGCCCAACGGCTCCCACAGCTGCACCATCACACTGGAAACCCCAATATGTTTACAGCAACTGGCTGGAGCGAGGCTGGAGTTCAGCCCCAGCTCCCGCTGGGACACTGCCCATGTGCCAGCACAATCCCACCCAGTTCTGGGACTGCTTCCTTTCCGCAGGTGCAAACCCTGTGAACGCCGCTGCTTCTCCCACCCTTGTTCAAGACCCTTCATGCAGCAACACACCCGGGTGAGGAGCAAAGCACAGCTCAGGAGGGGTTTGGAGAGTGCTCAGCCACTGTGGCTTCAACACTTTATTAATCAGGCCTGCAAGACCTCGGATTCCTTCTGCACTGAATGGACAAAAATGCTGCTGCTGGCCTGGGTAGGCTGGGGCAAACCTGAGCGTATTTGGGGATGGAAATGAGCTCTCCCAGGCCTCGAGGCAGGTGGAAGGTTATCCAGAATTGAACTTCATCATTCAATGGTGCAGCTCAACCCACCACCAACCTGTCCTGTCACTGAAGGCTGGGGGAGAACAGCAAGGAGGAAAGTTCCCTTCCCCTCTGGGTACAGCTGCTATGGACACACCATCCCCAGCATCCCTGCAGCCCCTACACGACGGTTTGCAGCCCCTGTCCCCCCTTGCACAAACTCTCTAGGAAATTGCCATAAATTGAGGGTTTCTGTGGCCTCAGCATCATATCTGGTGATAAAGATCTCTCAAGACAAGCACTGCACGTGTTCACACTGGCGCTTTTGGGTCCATCACACGCGTGGGCTGGGCTCCAGACCCCGAGCATGGGTGCAGGGGATGCTGTGAGGGGGGCACAGCAGCCCCTCTCAGGGATTAGCAGAGGGAATTAAGCTCTGGCCTACTTTGGGATTTTCCTTAATTCCTTCAGCTATTTCTACAGTTTTAGCAGGTGAGTGTGGCTCGCAGGACACATGCTATGAGTTCTGGGGAGCAGCAGAAGGCTCTTTGCTGCAGAGGCAATGGCTGAGCAGGAGTCATCTGACTCCTGCTACTTTCCCTCCAGATTCCTGCAAACAAACTCTTAATTTTGGGGCAAAACATGCCTCCCCACCAAGTGCAGCACCTTCCCTGCAGTCTGTCTCCGGGGAAACCCTATAAAATAGAGGAAATAGTGGAAAAGGGCTTTCTTTGCAGCACTTCACAACTGGTCTCACAAACTGGCAGCAGCTGCCAAGTCCTGACGCAACACCTCCCTGTGCCTGGCATTCTTCTGCTCAGGTCTCTCCTCTCATCTCAGCCCCTGATGCTGACCAGCATTTCCAACCCTGGTGCCAGCCTAAGAACCAAGGGAACGCTCACATGGCAACAAAAATGAGGCCCACCACGTGCAAAGTAAAAAAAAAATCAATAATTACTGTCGAAGCCAAGGGCTCCCTGGCAGGTTCGACCAACCACGGCCTGGGGGCAGGCAAAAAGATTTTTAAAGTCGTGATGGGTTTGATGAAGGGCTAAGGGCAAGGAGCCCTCTGAAAGCTGCTAAGCAGGGGGAGAGGGGAAAGCAGAGAGTTTTTAAAAACGCCTTGTTATTTCTGGCCACACCACTGTGTTTTAGTTTTAGTTTTAAAACAAGCTGCCCCTACCTCCCGACCCACTGGCTCAGCAGGAAGCAGAAATGCAGGTGCTCTGGCAAGCAAGAAAATATAAACTGAGTTTGGGCTGTTAGTTGGCCATAAAAAACGTAAGAAAATGTAAAGAACTAAAAGCTAGATTTCTCCTCATTTTCACCTAGAAAACATACTTGAGCATGAGCTCCCACCTCTCCCTCTTTTTTTTTTTTTTTTAAAGGGAGATGATGCAGAGCTCGAGAACTTTACCAGAATCAGTACGGAGGCAACAGCAAGGTCTTACCGATCTCAATATTTAACAATTCCTCCGTGGAAAGGTGAGGGGATGCAAAGAGCCCTGGACCTGCTCTGCCCCTCGCCGCCCACCCTCCAGCCGCGCGCGGGGGCCGCCCGAGCCCCCGGGAACTCACTTTGAGCTGGGATTTGGAGACCTTGCCGCTCTTCTCCACGTCCAGGGCGGTGAAGGCGTACCAGATGGACTTGAGCAGCTCCGCTCGCAGGTCCATGGCTGCCGGCGGCGGCTCTGCCGAGCCCGCGGATCCGGTTCCTGGACGCCGCCCGGGCGGGCGGGACGCGGGGCGGGAGCGCCGCCCGCCCGGGGCTCCCCGGGAACCCCCCGCGCCCCATCGCTGCCGCTCCGCTCCCCGCAACGCCGGGGCTCACGGACCCTGCGCTCGGATCGGCCCACACATCAAACGCTCCGTCGGCATTTGCGCTCTGGGGAGAGAAATCTCCTCCCTGGCTCAAGCAGCAGCTTCCCCTCCCGGGACTGAGCTGCAGAGCTTCCCCTCGCAGCGGGAGCACGGGCTGCGCTTTGGAACGGCTCCAGCTCTCCTAGTTTTGCGATCAATCGCATCAGGGCAGGTGTGGGGAGACCCAGCGTGCTGCGCCCTCCCGGGTTGTGCCCGTTCCGTGCCCGTTCCGTGCCCGCAGAAACCTCTTCCTCTGCGAACTCCTCGGGGACGTCCAGAAAATGATCCACCTGACTGCCGGGATCCTGCACTGGGCTCAGGTTTACAGCTGGACTCAACGATCTCAAAGGTCTTTTCCAGCCAAAATGGTTCTATGGTGCTTCCCGTGCTGGCTCTCTCTGCCCAGTGCCTGGGGCAGTGGAAGGGCTGAGGGCACCTGCCCAAGTCTCTCTCCCCAGCTCAGGGGCCTGTAAGATGTGTTCACTGACACAGTTCCGTAAATCTGGGCTTGCAGGGGTCCCTGGAAGACCCAAAACCTGATCTGAGATTTTAGAGACACTTCTTAGCCCCCCAAGCCACATGGTGGGGGCTCAGAGAGTACAGCTCACCCTGTTCCCTGCCGTCCTCTGGGACAGTCGCTGCTTTGGCAGGACACATTCAGTCAATTCCACAAATCTCCTCAATTTCTTTAATCCCTACAGCTGCAAAACAGTAACATGGATCACCTCCTCCCAGCCTCCACCAGAGAGAAGGGGGCTGCTTTTAATTGTTAATTTATTTTTATTTCAACTCAACATTTACATTCAGGTCTAGCTCAGCCCTCGAGAAGTGCAGGCTGCTCTGCTCTGCAGCCAAGGAGTCAGCCACGGAAGCTTGCTTGAGAGTGGAATGTGACAAAGAGATGGGAGAACTGCTGTCAGAGCGCTGGCTCCAATGGCAGGTACTGGTCACCCTTGACACCGAGCCCAGGACAGCCTGGGCTTGCTTTGATGGGCCTTTGTTGCTTCCATACACATGCTGCCCACTTGTCCCTGAGCTGGAGGGGTGGACAGGAAAGGGGAGCTGTTGGACTATTCCTAGAGGTAGAGGGCAGGAAGTGCTTCTCTGAAAACAGGGCTGCTGCTCAGAGCCCAGGAGAGGCTCCAGCAGAACCTCCAGGAGAAGGCAGCAGTCCAGTATCTTTGCCCTCCCTCCTTGGAGAGAAGAGCCCTTTGCACGGGGTCGCTTCAGCAGCCTCACGCTGCCCTGTCAGCCCTCCCGGCCCGTGCGGGGCAGGTGCTGGCTCAGACATGTCCCTGCCCCGTGTCCCCCTGCAGCACCCACTGCCTCCGCCCATGACAGGCCAGGGCTCCTCTCCCCCTGCCCCAGCAGCTCTGCCGACCTCAGCTCCCTTTCTCAGATACGGCTGTGTCAGACGTCACCGGTCCACAGTGGATTACTGCTGCAGCCATGCTGACGCCTTCCTCCAGGCTCTGCTGCTCTTCCAGCTGGGGGAGGCAAGGGAGAGAGATAGTGAGTGCTGAACCCCCAAAAGGCATCTCAGGGCAGCCCTCAGAAGGACAGGGGGGCAAGGGGGCGGTGACAGAGGTGTGAAGCAGAGGGGCAGACGTGGCCGTGATGCAGAAAGGCTGCTTACACAAGAGCATTCTGCAATCCCAGGAGCACGTCCCTGTGCTGTCCTCTGTATGCAGGGCATCTGGGAATTAAGAAGCAAGCCCTCTGGGCAAGCAGCAATGCAGCAGGGCAAGAGGGCAAGTGCTGTGGGCAGTAGGTGGCTGGGGAGCAAAGGGGTGCATGGCAGGAGCCTGCACCATGTGTGGTACCTGCACAGTGATGTGGGTGCCGTGGGCAGTGGCCAGCAATGCCACCTGCTGATGATGGAGAGGGGCAACGGCGGATTCCTCTGACACGACTGCCCCAGAAGCGACTACGGTCACCTAGGAAAATCAGATAAAAAACAATCATGTTTTAAAAGAAAATGCAGCTCCTTTCTAGCAGAGAACAGGAAAGGTCCCAGTTTTGTCTGTACCCCCTGCGTCTTGGTGCCATCGGTGTTGGCCACAGTCACGGTGCGAGTGTCACCTGCCAGCTCTCCCTTGGGCACGGCAAGGGCCCCGCTCTGTGTCACCACACTGATGGAACTGCCCAGGGCCCGCAGCTCTTCCTGCGACAGACTGACCTGGGGGATGACAGTGGATGCTCAGGGAGTCTTAGACAACTCCCTAGTTTAGCAATGCAAAGGTCTGGGCAAGGATGAAACAGTCTCCCCCCAAGACCCAGGGCACAGAGAACTCCAAGGACTTTGCCCAGGGTCATGGACAGAATTGATGACAGAGAACTCGGAGCTTGGGTCTCCAGCCCTCCCTGCTTGTACCACAGCTCCCCTCCCCACTCAGCCTCTTCTTTCCAGGCTGTACAGGACAGCTTGTGCGTTGTGGCAGCAGAAGCATCTCAGGCTAAGAGGAAACAAGTCACTTTTGGCAGCTGCTTCCTTTGCCCTGTACCACAAAAGGGAGTTTTTTCCACTCAGCACATGGGCAGCTGGTGGAGGGAAGTACAAGAAAAGCACTGCTGCATACAAATGATGACAAAACATCTCCAAATCCAGCCTACATCAGCAGATCTTGGGAGCTGCTGGGAGCTGAGGACTGACAGGCACTGCACACAAGCCTGGGCAAACACCTGGAGACCCCATTAGCAGGGAGAGGCACTGTCCCTGCTAGATCAGAGACACTTTCAAACCAAGACTACAGCAGTGGGTGAGGCTGTAGGAGGGATCCCTCAGAGCAGGCAGAGCCCATGGAGCCCCAGGGTCTGTTTTATGCTGAAAAAAGGCCCTGAAGAGAACACTGCAGCTGGGTAGAGGCAGAATCTCACTCACATAATAACTGCTGTCCCTGATGTGCTGGAGGCTGTCAGTGTCTGTACCTGCTCTGTCCCATCCTGAGAGATAAGTGAGACCTGTGTAGGCTCAACATCATCTTCTTCATCTTCCTCCATCTCCGACAGGAAAGCAATCTGCTGGCTCTTCAGCGGGCAGCCTCTGTCAGCAGCAGCAACTGGGTCAGGGAAGGGGAAGAGCAGCATTATCAGAACATGAAAGCACATGCTGGGCCCCAGGACCTGCCTGTGGCCTCAAGGGCCAGCACAGAAGAGCACAAGATCACGATGACACCAGCCCAGTGATGGCCTGGTAAGAAGGGCCTTTACCTCTCCCTGTACTAATAGAATGGGCAGGGGCCTGCTCCCAACCTGTGACTTACAGCAAGGACCATCAAACACAGATCTGGATTTGATAGGGAGGCAGGAGGCCATGGCACAGACCTGGGTCTGAGAGGGGAGCAGCTGCAGGCTCTTGCTGTCACCTCTCCCCCCTTTGCTGTACCTGACCTGAGCCTGCTGCAGGTGATGGGGGAGTGGGGGCTCACCTTCCAGCCTCAGCTGCTCAAAGAGGGCCCGCTCACTGTCCTCCGTGGCCTCCAGCTCGCCGTGGCTGCTGCGCTTGTGCATGGCCAGCGTGGAGGTCTGGCGGTACGTCTTCCCACAGCTGCTGCAGGTGTAGGGCTTGCAGTGCGTGTGCACCACGTGGTGCTTGTAGAGGCTGGAGTACTCTGTGAAGCGCTTCCCACAGCCTGGCACAGTGCACAGGTATGGCTTCTCTCCTAGGGCAGAGGCCACAGAGCACAGCTTCCCCCACTCGCTCTCCTCATGCTCCAGGGAGGGATTCCCCACCAGAGCAAATAGCTGGAGGTGGACCAGTGGAACAATAATCAACGAAGCAAAGCAATTCCCACTATTTGCTTTAACTCCCTGGCCACCCCCAGATCTACTCCTGCAATGCTGGGCCTGGAAACGCCCATCTCAGCCCCACAGACCTCCCTGCTGCTGGCTGGGAGGAGCTGGCTGCCTCCTACCTGTGTGGATTCTCATGTGGTTCTTGTAGTTGGTGGCACTGGTGAAGCCCCTCCCACAGCCAGGCTCTGGACACGTGTACGGCCGCTCGCCCGTGTGCGTCCGGACGTGAACCTTGCGGATGTTGGAGGTGGTAAAGGAGCGGCCACAGCCCACGAAGGGGCACTTGAAGGGACGCTCACCTGCATTGACAGAGTGATGTGGATGAGCCCTGCTACCATGCAGCTACCTGGAATGCCCTGGAGACCCTTTCACTGGCAGTGCAGTTCTCCCCCTGTGCTGCTCACCTGTGTGTGTGCGGATGTGTTTCTGTAGATCCCCAGAGGTTCTGAAGGCTTTGCTACACATATCTTCTGGACACTTGTATGGTTTCTCACCAGTGTGTGTTCTCACGTGGCTCTTCAGCCCATACCCTGTTCAGGACAGAAACCACAATTAATTTTGTAACAAAAAGGAGATGCCATGATAAGCTGTGTACCACCCCCCAGTTCATGTACTTGAGTGTCTGTACTGTGTCTGCAAAGCTAAGGGGGAAAAAACATCCAAACAGCTCCCAACGCTACTTTCAACCCTACTTCCACCATTATCTGACTACAATCAATCAAGTCCTGCAGGCTCCCATGCTGTAGTTCCCTCACAGAAGGCTTTAGATGCTCTGGACATTGTGCTCTGCTGGACCAGAGCCAGGGCTGAGGCTCAACAGCATTTTGGGTTGGACAGAAAGCAAAATCTTCTCAAAAGAGAAGCTGTTACCTGTAGCAAATGCTTTCCCACAACCTGGCAAGTCACATGTATATGGCCGGTCACCTGTGTGAGCACGTTCATGTACCTGGAAAAGGAAGAACGGGTCATTAAAATGAGGACCAAGGCAAGGAGGAAGGAAAACAGCTGTACAGAATGCAGAACCCTGGCACTGTAACCTGGGATACGTCTGGCCTGCACACTGCCATGTCACCTGCTTTACCTTGCGGTGGTGGGCAGTGGTGTAGAGGCGGCCACAGCCTTTGTACCCACAGGGGAAAGCTCTGCTTCTGACCTGCTGCCCCTTCCCATGGCTGTGCACCTCCTCCTCCTGCAAATCCTGCCAAGACAAGTACAGGAACTAATCCGGCAAGCCACCACAGCAGGCTTCACCAAGCCCACACAAATATTTCCCTCCTTGCCATACATATGCACTCCTGCAGTTATCCTCCAAAAACATGTTCCTACAAACAAGCTTGTACCCGCACGGTGCAGCCCAGGTGACAGAGCTCCACAAACCTGCATTTCCCACTCCCACCTCCCAGCTCACTGGGGGTTCTCAGACACCTAACTCCCTCTCTGGGCTTTGCTCAGCTCATTTGTGAAGTGTGCACTTACTATTTGCTAACTCAGCAGAGAAGCCACCAACGCTTTTTTAATTATTCGCTGGCAAAGAGGAGTTCAGCCTAGTTCCAGTCACTGAAAAATTCAGACCTGAGAAGGGACGTTGCTGGAGTCTGTAGGGTTCATACGGCAGGTGTCTGTCACTCCCTCCTCTTCCTTGTCAGACCCCTGTGGGTGAAGAAGCACAGGCACTCTTGTGCCTCCCTGTACAGTGTGGAGCACGAGAGCAACCCAAGCAGGAAGACGACAGCCAGTGCCACCCCGCCCTTCTGCAGAGAGCTGGGGCTGGGCCGGCCATGGCAAGAAGGTCTGTGCCCAGCTGAGCATTGCCAGCACTGTGCTGGCAGCCCCATCTCCACAACGCTATGCAGACGGGAGAAAATGGCAGCACCCAGGATGTTCAGGTGGGACACTGCAGTGACAACGCCTCAGGATCGAAAGCTGTTTTGTTTTTTTGAGGTCTTTGTCACCATGGGGACAGTGGCCATAGTTTAGCCACTGCTGACATGCCAAAGGCTGTATCACAGCAGCTCTCCTCTCTTCGCAAATCCAAGCCTGTAGCACGTTAAGGGTGGCAGGCCCAGCACTCCATGAGATCCAAATGGCCCCGTTCTGGGCCCCTAACTGCCAGCCACCCATCAGTGGTGGCACTTGCCCTGGAGCCCTGTCCAGCCGCTTCTCTCAAAGCTGGCACTGCTGAAAGACAGATATACACAAGTACTGCTGAAGGGAGGGCCAAGCGTGGCCCCCAACCCGTGGTGCTGCTGGCAAACCACGGGAGCAGCGCTGTGCCCTCACCTTACTGCTGTACTGCTGTAATGCATTCATGGTCTCCACACCAAAGGCATCATCTTCCTCCTCCCCAGCTAACTCCTCGAGCCCAGTTCCTGTCTGCACTTCCAGGATGGTGCTGCCAGGTGCTACGATGACAGGATGGTGGATGTAGGCAGTGGAACCATCCTCCACCTGGATGGCCTGGAAGGTGCCAGGATCGTAACCGTCTGGAAGAGGAAACCAATTACGTCAAATGCAAAGAGCTGCTGAGTGCGAGGCAGAAGAGTGCTCCACCTCCCCAGCCACCCACAGCCCTGGAAATCTGGGACACTATAGTAGCTTCTGCTCCAGCTGCCAAGTGAAGAGCAGGGAGCACTTTACCTTTAGCTGTGCTGTGTATGTAGGCCATGCTGCCATCTTCCAGCACCACTGGCTGACCATCTTCCAAAGCCACAGACTCTAAAAGAGAAGTGAAACATCCACACATTTTCCTGGAGGACTCAGGATGGAGGGAATACTGTGGCAGTTCCTGAACCCTGCAGCATTAAGGCTCCCGGGAGAGAACACAGGGCTCCTGCTTGCCCTGGAAGGCAACCACAACTGTAGGTTTTAAGACACCATTTGAACCCTTCTGATGTGAATTATGAGATTTTTCAAGGCTTCATGCACAGATTCGCCACTTTCTTAGCTCAAAGCATTAGTGCAGTGCCTTCCCAGTTTCAAAATGCCAGATTATATCCCAGACAAGGAGGATGGTTCTGGCACAGGGATGTGTGAAAGGTAACACAAATATCCCATGGCAGAGGAAGGAGGGATGAGAGGGAAAACCCTTCTCACTTTGCGTGTGGAGGCAGTGAAGAGGATGAAGGGGGGAAAAGCATAAAAAGTGGGTTTCAAGCAACCTTTTGAGATTAGAAGAGGGAGATGGCACACAAGAGGCTTGGGAGGGTAAAGAAGGACTGCCCAAAGCAACCGAGCTCTTTCTACCTGGCCTTTTGCATCTTAGCGTGGTCAGGGAGGGGCCTGGGTCTGGGCCACTCTGCTGCCTGCCACATGAAATGAATTCCCATCACCTCTCAGATTAATGTCATATCAGTTTGGAGGTGACATTGGCCAATGGGTCAATGACCAAGGTGGCGTTGCTTCCAACAATCCCCACCTGCCCTTCACCAACACCTATTCCAAAAGTAATATATTATCTCATAGTTCAGAGGAAATTCCCGTCCAACTGTTCCCACATGAAACAAAGTCTGTCTGGGAGCAGCACACAGCTCACTGGGCTTGCGGTCTGTCAGACTGACAATGGGGAGAGATAGCCCACAGGTGAAACGACACCTCCACCAAACTGATCTTCTTGACAGATTGCTGAAAACTTTGCAGGAAATCACATATTCTATGCCCTTGTTTATTCAGCCTCAAAACCACGAGCAAAAAAAGCCCTACACAAACCCTGGACTTGCGAGAACTGGAGCTGACAGGAGCCCAAGCGCTGGAGCACTGACAGCTGCAGCCACATCTACAGTATCCTTCCAAAGAGAAAGAGAGGAATGTATTGTTCTCACCTTTCTGAACTGTCACCTGATGGATATAAGCTGTGGTCCCATCTTCAAGTTCAATGACTTGTCCTTCAATCAGCTTTTCACCTGAAACAGTTATAACATCCCATCAGCACTGCCGAGCCCAGTCCCTCTGCCCCACGTGCTTCCCAAGGAAACCAGTCCCACAGAAGGGAGAAACTGTCACTTGTAGGCTGTTAGGGACCAGCTTTCCCTCGGATTGCTGGCACTTCACTTCCCAGAAATGCCAGAGCTGCCCTTTCCTAGAGAGGAGGACACACAACAAAGACCCTTAGGCATCACTTGTTGACAAGCTGCCCCTCCCAGCAGTTTGTGCCAAGGAGCAGAAAGAACATTGTGTGCTGAGCATTTGGAATCTAGTAGAAAGCAATTACACTTGTGCTGGAGAAAAAAATCAACTGGGAGCTCTGACTGGCATCAGCAAGTGCCTGGAGATTTCTTTTTTTCTACTTTGGCAGAGCATCAACTCTTGGAAAAAAATTACAGTACCTAAAGGGGCCTAACATGCTGCCAGGGTTGGGTTCTGAAGACTGAAATCTTACAAAGCCTAACTCTCTGCAATCCTGTAATAATGACTGAGTTACCCAAAGATTTGATGCAGAGAGGACATTGCTCCATCCACTTGAATAGGTAAAATCCAGGTTGGTTTCACCTGGAGCACAAAGTTTGGGGGGGTGTCACACAACCCAGTGGTTCCAAGACAGTCCAGCTCTACACATGTGGAATATAAATAAACTTCCAGTGAGTTTTCACAGAAAAGAAAGCAAGAGAGCAACCCCCAGGACATGGAGCTGCACAGCTCATCCATCCTGTTCTGCAGGCTGGGAAACAGCATGCTCCTGTTCTGGGAGCAGTGGGTAGTGGAGAAAGGGGCACCTCACACACATCAAAGTAAGGAAAAGTGTTGAAATTGGCACCTCTCTGAGTGAGAAATGCACTGTTGTGAACCAATCCCTGTGCACACCAGTGAAGGAAAACCTCCTGCTCAGCCCAAGGCAAGTTTTGGTGGAAAAGAGCCCTCCAAGCCACGGAATCAGCTCTGCTTCCCCCAGTGATCCCAGACAGAACAAGGCTTATCTGGTCTGAACAGCACCTTTATTGTCTACAGCAAATGCTCTCTCATCTCCACAGCTTCATTTCCACAACAGAGGCACATTTGAATTCTGTTTTTATATCAGACTTCTGTTCAAATCCAACAGAGAATCACCTGTGCTGCTCGTGTGACGCGGCCACACACGTGTGGCAGCTCATGCACTGTGAGGGCACTTTTGGCAAGTCTTTCATTTGAGCCCCAGAAAAAGACTTTGAGCCCTGGCAGCCCGAGGCTCCGTTACCTCTGGCAGCCTGCTGCAGGTAGGCCATGGTGCCGTCCCTGAGGGTCACTGCTGGCAGCCCCAGGCTCTCCATCCCGCCGGGAGCACCGGGCCCAGAGCCAGGGGCCTGGGGGACACTGAGCCGTCCTTTTTGCTGCAAGCCTTAAGTAAAAAGAACAATTCCATTTTATTTTCTCTCCTCAGATGTATACTCACTTTTGCACACCAGGAAAGGCTTGAATGGCCTCAAACTAGTTTTGAGGTTATAAAGGATTAAGATGGACAACACTGCATCCTTCCCCCACCAATGGCAGGCAGGGCTAACAATCTGTTCCACAGACAAATATAAAATCACACCAGTGAACTGACAGACTCTTCTTTGAGACAGTGCAAATGCCACATTCAAGCCCTTCCCGTCTTCCAAATGATCTGCAGGGAGGGTTTCCAAGTACTATAAGGCCTGAACCTACAGGCTGAGCATGTCCTGTACTGCAAGAGACAGGGGCAGGATGATGAGCTTCATCCCTGGAAGCATCCTCCTCTCCTTCCTTTCCTGACTAATTCCCAGCCTTTTGAGAAACAGTATTTCAGGCTCTAAGCACATTATATTAAAACCACCACGCCCCCACAAGAACATTTTGCTAAAGAGGCTCTCTGCTGACAGATTATCTTTCAAAGCAGCTACAGTGGGTTCTTCCTGAGCCATCTCTGAGATAGCCAAATACTTAATCGTCTGATTTGCAGGAACAAGTCGGACCGCCCTGTCCGTCCCCGCCGCAGCCCGGGGTGAGCTCGGCTTTGAGCCCCCTCAGTACGCCTCACCCCGCACCCGGCTGAGGCTCCTCTGCGGCTGCAGCGGGTCCTGCCGGGGTTCGTTCCCCCTGGGCTGCGGCGGCCCTGCACTGCTGAGCCTCCGGTACGGGCTGCGGTGCGACGGCACCGGGGAAGGGCAGGGCCCGAGGGGAGCGGCCGGCGGGCCCGGGGGTGGCGGGGGACAGGAGGGGCTCTCCCCGCGAGGTGCCGGGGGCTGGGGCAGCCCCGAGGCCCGGCCGCCATCGCCTCCCCCGCACCGACCTGAGCGACCCGCCGGGCCCGGGTCCGCCGCCGGACCGACATGCACCGCGGCCGGCCCCGCAACCCGCACAGCAACGCGCTGCCGACCCCGTCCGCAATGCAGGTTCCGGGGCGGGCCGGGCCGGCTCGGGGAGCGCGCGCCGTGAGGCGGCCAATGCGGGCACGCGCGATGTTAACACTGAAGCCGCGAGGCACCGCTTTCCCTTGCCCTTCCCGGCCGGGGGCTGCGCGGGCCGCCAGCGGGACCTGCCTAATGCCGGTGTTCTACAGCACTGCCGCCCGCGGGGAGCCTGTCCAGCTCGCTCCTCACGCAGCGGACGCACCCCGTCTTCTTCCCGGCAGCTGCTCAGGGGAGCCAGAGGCGCTGTGAAGCGATGGACGAGCTCCTGTCCTGGTGGTCCGCGACAGGAGGCAAAGAGACCTTGGTTGTTCGTTTAACAGGGAAGGAGATGCGGGCAGGGCAGGGCGGTGCTCTCCACCGCTCCCAACATGGTGGCTCTGCGCTGCCGCCGCTCCCTCCATGGCGCCGCGCGGCCAAATCTCGCGAGATCTCGCTCCTATTTATAGCGCTCCGGGAGCTGTTCTGCCCCTTTGGTCCGAGCAGCCGCCGCCATGAGGTGGGTTGGTCCTGCCGCCGCTATCCGCCGCCGCCATCCGCCGCCATCCACCCCGTCCGCCCCGTCCGCCCCGTCCGCGGGGCTGCCCGGGCTGCTTGGGGGGGTCGATGCAGTGGGGTCGATGGCGGAGGGAGAGCGCGGGGGCCGGGGTGGGTTCGGGGCCGCGCCTCGGGCGGGGCCTGCCCTGAACCCGCGCTGCCGTTTCCCCCCGCAGCAGCAAAGTGTCCCGGGACACCCTGTACGAAGCGGTGAAGGAGGTGCTGCACGGCAGCCGCGCCAAAAAGCGCAAGTAAGAGCCCCAGATGCGGCGGGACCGGGCGTGTAGCGCCCGGCCTCGGCCTCCCCCCGCCCGTCCGGGCCTCACCCGCTGCCTCTCGCAGGTTCGTGGAGACCGTGGAGCTGCAGATCAGCCTCAAGAACTACGACCCCCAGAAGGACAAGCGGTTCTCCGGCACCGTCAGGTTCGCCATCCTCTCGCTCCCACCCAGCCTTCGGCGCTGCCCGGCCCTGCCCGGGGCCGCCGCGGGGCCGAACCGCTTGGGGAGTCCAGAGCGCCCCGGCCCAGCGGGAGCGGCTGGACGGACCCTCACCCTGGGTCTTAAAACATGAGGGGAGGTGTGGGAGCTCCCCGGGCTGTCCCCACCGGCCTGCTGTGATGGCAGGTGAGCGGCGGTGCAGGACGCCCCGTGCTGTGGTAAGGTGTCTCCGTGCTGGCTCCAGGGACACGGCAGCGGTGCTGGTAAGGCACTGACTCGGACCTTCCATCCCCAGGCTGAAGTCTACGCCACGGCCCAAGTTCTCGGTCTGTCTGTTGGGGGACCAGCAGCACTGTGATGAGGCCAAAGCGGTTGACATCCCACACATGGACATAGAAGCTCTGAAGAAGCTCAACAAGAACAAGAAGCTGGTGAAGAAGTTGGGTGAGTGGGTCAGGCTCTGGGTACCTTAGCCAAATTGGGAGGGGTCTGGGTAAGCAGGAGGTTTTCTGTCATCTCAGATTTCCATGTCGTGGTTAGCTCCAGGGATAGAAAGCTGAGCAGAGTACCAAAATCTGCCCAGAAACTACCCAGAAAAACCCCCAGGCTGTTGGCAGTGCAGGTCTGACAGGTCAGTGTGGCAGGAGTGGGGCTGGTTGTCCTGCAGAAGGAAGGAAGGGACATAGGAAAGCATGCCTGTCACAGAGTTTCACCCTTTGCTGTGTTCCTCGATTTTCTGGTCAAGGACCTGGAGTGCAGCAAAAGCAGAGAAATGCTGGAGGCAAGAGTGGGATTTAGTCCTGCAGTTCTTACATGAACAGAATAAAATTTGTCTCTTTTCTCTCAGAGAGAAAATCCTTCCTTCCCTGAGAACTCTAGAATCACTTTGGTACGTTTCTGAGGCAGACAAGAACTTGACACTCAATCCATGATCAGCCACGGAACCATGTGCAGTTAGGAAGTGACATGGGATACTATGGCTGTTGGCTAAGCCTCTCGTAGATGGGTCATCCATCCTGGTGTGCACAGGCTGTGGCAGGAGGCTCCTGGCAGAGCTCAGAGTTCAGTGTCACCTGGGGCTCAGCAAAGGACAGTTCCTTTAGGGAATGAGCTTTGTGCCATTCGGAGTCTGTGTCAGGAGTGGGGCTGGGGTCTGGCTGCTGTGACAGTCATTCCTGATAGATTGTTGGTAAAACCAGCCCCTGTGGGAATGTCTGTTGGGGGAAGTGGAGCTGTGCAGGCTTGGCTGAGCTGCTCTCTGGGAGCTCAGTGTGGGAGCAGAGTCTGTCCTCACCTCCCTAGTTCTCTCCTTGCAGCTAAGAAATACGATGCCTTCCTGGCTTCCGAGTCCTTGATCAAGCAGATTCCTCGAATCCTGGGCCCAGGCCTGAACAAAGCCGGGAAATTCCCTTCTCTGCTCACCCACAACGAGAACCTGGTGGCTAAGGTTGATGAGGTCAAATCGACCATTAAATTCCAGATGAAGAAGGTAAAGCAGGGCTTTTCCTCTCCAAGGCAGTTCTGTGTCTCTGCTATATCTGGGATGGACTGTAGGTGGCCCTCGAGTGTTTCCTCCAGCAAAGGGAGACCTCTGCTGCCAGTCAGAAAGGAGGAATAATTTTTCTGTCATTGACAGATCTGGAAGCAAGTGATCATGAGATGATTCGATATGTCAGTGCTGAGCACAATCCAGTGCAGTTAACACTTCTCCTGCTCCGGTGCTGGCTCTGCACAGCGTGTCGCGTGTCCTTCCCAGTATTGCTGTCTCTGGGAGGCAGTGATGTTCCCACCTTCTCCCAGTCAGCTCTGTGTGTGTTAGAGGTGGCATCCAGGGGCTACAGGCACAGGGAGCCACAGGCCAGGTGCAGCAGGCACTGGAAAACCCCATGGGTGGGCTGGGGAAGCTGTGTCCAGCTGACAGACCATGGGACAGTCCAGCACATAGATGAGTTCAGGTTGGCACCTTTGCTCTGCCCGTGAAACCTTATCCTGGTGTATGTCCCCAGGTGCTCTGTCTGGCTGTGGCTGTCGGTCACGTGAAGATGACAGAGGATGAACTTGTCTACAACATCCACCTGGCCATCAACTTCCTGGTGTCCCTGCTGAAGAAGAACTGGCAGAACGTGCGAGCTCTGTACATCAAGAGCACCATGGGGAAGCCCCAGCGCCTCTACTGAGGGGGCAGCAATAAACTCTGTGGGCACCCACGGCCATGTGTGGTTCTGTTACTCCAGAGCTCCTTGGGGTGGGTTTGCCAATGAGCTGTGGTGAGCCAGGTCTTAGATGCTGCGTTGAGTTGATAGGGATGTGAATTCCAAGTGGTGCATGGAGCTTTTGAGGGAAGGGGCCTCTGTGTTCAGAGCAGGGAGGGGGAACAGCTTCACTTGCCCCAGACTGATCAGAGCAGAGGTGTCCCGGGGCAGGTGGAGTTTCAGCAGTTAAACTATGGCCCCCAGATCCCCCTGTGCCCACGAGCAGTGCTCACCTGCAGCCATCCTGCTGCAGAGCCCACAGCCTTAATCTGAGGGGGGCACCAGCTTTTGAAGGCTTTTGGTGCTCCAGCCTCGGGTGGGGGGATTCTGCCCAAGGTGCAGCGTGTGAGGACTTGATGGGCATCGTCCAGCTGCCCAGGGATGCCAGGGGATGGAGCTGCAGCCCAGCAAGGGGGTTGGGGCCAAGGGTACAGAGTGTGTTCCATCCTTTCTTCCCTCTGAGTCAGCCTATGTCCAACTCCTTATTCTGGGATAAAAATCAGATTTGTTGCATCTAATTAGTGTGCATAAATAAATACATTGTGCTGGGACTAGTGAGCTTAGGGAAGTCTGAACAGGGAAAAAAAATACCCTGGGCCCTGGAAAAGCTTGTCAGCATCTGAGGAAACCAAACAATGAAAATAGCTCTGGATCCTGCTGTTAGAAACCTTTCAAATAAGCATCCGAGCCAGTTTTTTGAAAGATCAACATGACACCAAGAAATTCCATTTAATAATTAAAAAAAGACAATACAAAATGCAAACATTTCTTTTTACAAAGTTCAAATACATTTTTCTTTTAATCAAGTGCAAATAACTTCATGAACTACATCTTGCTCATCACTTTAATAATCATTTTTGCTGGAGATGGCAAGTCCTGGCCTGCTGCAAAAGCCAGATATAAATACTCCAACGTGGAAAAAAACCCCAAAACCCCTCATTTCTGTTCACTGTGTTGAAACATTCAGTTCATCCCCGAGGTGGCTGGTGTGGGTTTCAGCCTTTGAAACCCTTTCTGAGCTGGGGGTGGATGGGGGAGTGGGGCTGAGCCACATTGGAGGAGGTGGGTCCGGGGTCCTCGTGGACTTTTTTGGGGTTTTTTGAGCTATTTGGTGAAAGGTGGCGGAGGAGGTGCCACTACAGGAAGACATGTTGCCCACCTCATGCTTCCAGAACTGCTTTAGGGGAGCAGAGGTGGTGGTTGTGATAAGGGTGGGACAGCGAGCCCATGTTAGATCACCCAGAGTTAATGCTGGACTGCTGTAGACTGGGGCACCACAGTGGGGTTGGTTATTCCCAGGCTTGTATTTTTGTTGTTTTTTTTTTATTCTGAATATGAAGGACCCTCTCAAGGGTCACTGCCCTGCACGACTGTTCCAGAGCCACA